TCATGCACTATGAGTGCGACTAAAGTAAGACAGTATTTTATGGCAAACTGGAACAATTCATGGTACTCGTATGGGCACTGAAATGCTTGTCTTTGAAATGAATACTAGAAACTATTCAACAGTTTAGGCAGTTCCATGCAAATAATTTTTGTCTTCCTTTATCTGGCAAAAAATTTAGGAATTTCCTTCTCATTGCATCTGGATTTCATGAGGCCATAATGCATTTCGAAATGCAGCGCTCCATTCTAAGGCGTGCACGCGATGGTGAGCTGATTCGCGAACTGCCAGCCACATAAAGGAAAAATTGTTTAATGAGGCAATGAGCTTTGCGTAACATATCCAACATTTGCATGCATTCTCGTTTACGGATCTTGATCGAAAGCAAATAGTTCAATCCCTCGTAAATTTAAAGCAGCAATCCCGTAAGGTACAGCACAGCAAGTCTAAGCCTGCAATTCTCCCATTCAATAGAATAAACCTTCAAACTTTCACGGAACTGGATTAATATTGTTGTTGTACTTTTCTCAGCAGACAATATTCATTATATTAAGCGGCGCTATAACCAGCAAACTTTCATATACGACGGAGTGGTGATAATCCAATGCACCTCAAAGCAACGTTGAATGTCTCGAACACTCACCAGTGCTATAATATGAAACGAGCAGATAAATGGATTAAAAACAGAAATGAGAATACCGCAGAGATTGGAAAAGAATGCCTATCTGATTTGATAGCTGTGAACCGTGTTGAGCAATCACTGATTTTGAAACATTCAATAATCTGAACGCCCAGATTGTTTATTCATTCACACAAAAACAATGAATTTCTCTAACGATGTAAAATTCATTCGAAAAGGAACCACAGGGCTGTATGCTGACCTAATTAACATTGATTATTGAAATCTTTTCGGGTGTTCATGTCCTCATGTAATGTCAAGGAAATGGACAATGGAGATAAAGTACGGTAAAACTCTCTACGAAGGTCATATAACGGGTGTGACATCTAATTTGCTCATATACGCTTGCATTTCTGCAGAGCATGAGTGTAAAGAGAGAGAGAGAGAGAGAGTCACAAGGAATATGTAATGCACGATTATCATTCACTCGCCATTGGAAAAGGATGCTAGCAGCAAGAAAAAGGATTCTCGAGTTTGAAAGGGATTCTAGCGGAAGGAATACTAACTGAAGACGAATAATCACTTAAAAGTGCAATGAAAAAAAAACAGCTTGCCAATTAGCAATCAGATGAAAAACAGTTGCAAACAGGTATGAATAATTGATAAGATGGCCTACAATCCGTGAAATGACAGTAAAATAACGGAATGATTCGAAAGAAAGCCAGCCGGTAATGCAAAGAAAGCCAGTCGAAAGAAAGCCAGCCGGTAACAAATCTAATCGCATGCTATAGCAATAATAACAAAATGTTTCGTTTATGCATTAGGGTATCCGACAAAATCAATCATTAATAGCGGATACAATCATCAGCTGTATGTGAGAACCAGCCCAGTTAATACCTTCATCAATAATAATATATTTCTACAACAAATTCAACCAAATGTGTCAACTACAACAACACTAGATTTTCTTACATGTGAAAGTTGAAACGTAACGAATGTAAGGATTGGGTGATACTGCGTAATGAAGTGGGGCTGAGTCTATTCGTCATATTGTCTGGCTGGATTTGCCATCGGTATAGTTTCGAAGTGGCTGCAAGAGACTGGGCTCCGATAGATCAGATTCGCTTTTCGAATGCCTTGGTTTTTACTCATTTTTGGTTTCTACCTACCGCCTAACGTGTACTTACTCGTAATGTCACCATCCACAAGGGAGCATTTCGAATCCACTTCTCGTTAACTCATAAATGCCTCGTAAAATCGCCCTTACGTATTTGGCTCAACCAAATGATTTTCTTGACGACACTTTAGATAAACGTTTCCTGATAAAACTCAGGGCAGTTAAAATTACAGAATTATTCCTATCTCATCTCTTGTTCAAACTGAATGAATCTTGCTGAATTCCAGTTCGTGTATACGTCCAGTGACAAGAATCATCAAAATTCCGTTCAAACTGATGAAGCATTTCGATATCTCAAAACGATTTCGATACATCATTCGATTTTTTCGATATATTTGAAATTATACTACGGTGATTTCTAGAAACGATTCGAACATTTGGTGCACACGAGAATTCAATGAAACCAGAGCATGTAGTAAATTATTCAATGAGTCGTGCCCGTTTGTTACTCTTGCATTCATCACTCATTATGCTTTAATTCATGTCGCAACTGAGCCCTCTTCATTTTCTCTTTATTTTTTTTGTTTTTTCTTCATTTCTTTCAACAATTATATCGAAATTCGTCAAAGGTTTCGGGCCATCACTGAATCCAACTCACGGCTTCTGAACAGATCGGATCCTCAAGGTTCAGTGTTACACCAGTACACTATCGGCTCATTGCTCTATCATTTCATTTTAAGTACCATCCTCTTTCAATTTACATCATCATTTTTATTCATTTTTATGCCGGCTTTTCGCGCTAGCCGCGACACATTATCACAAAAAATTTTAAGCGGACTTGTTTGACATATACGTCTCATTAGAGAGCTAATTTGACCACGGTTGGCCACAGCCTATGGTGAAGAGTGTTTTCGAATACTTGATGTCAACATATTCAAGCCGCATTTGGAAACGCAGCAGCTTGAATCCTAGTAAAAACAAACATAAAAGCACTGAGCTCATAAAATGCAATTTTCCTAGGAAGAACCGAATCGTTGTCAATCAAACATTTTTCAGCGTTGCTAAAATTTTATCGAAATGTATCAGACCCCATATATTTGAAGTTAAAACTAGAGCAATCATACAAATTATTTAGTAATTGTATGTTTAAATTGCTAATACCGTTAGCGATATCAGTGAATCTGCGTCGAAACACCTGAAATGAATGCGAATTAAAAACAGTTTGACACGTGATGAACAACTAGCAAGTTTCGGCAATTACACCCACTGATGATGAGTCATTACACCGATAAAATCCGAATCATGGTTGGGAAGGATTAAATTAGAAATTTTAGCGCTGTATTTCAAGTTTCGTTTACCTCATTTTATGGGATTTTTTTTAATCTTAAGAAGAAAATGGAAGAGCAAGGTGTGTGTTCATATTCGGTCAGTATTTTTATCGATTCAGGAGTTTGTGGATATATTTTGCAGATGAAATGAGTATGTCGATGTTGTGGTGTATCTGAATTTTGGATGATGATAATAGTGCTAGCGACAGAAAGGATATGATATCTAAGATGGCGATTAAAATTCGTCTCTTTCATTTTAGCTCCATATTCTATCTCCATTATGGTCATACCCTTGACACTTCTTCAATTAATTTAACGTTTCCAAAAAGCATTCAATCCGTTATCTAAATCGACAACATTCAACACCTGCTCATACATCTATTAGAAAGCCTGCTTTTGCCATCGTGCTTCGGCTGTCTAATGAACGAACAAACAACCTTCATCGCCACTTAGCTCTTTGTGAAACAAGAACAACTGATTTATCCTAATTCGAATGGTTTTTCTCTTGAAAGCATCCATTTCAACTCATTTGTTGATGAATGAATACCATCAACAATGCAGTTATCACCATCCCTCAAAATCATTGTCAACGCCTATTTATTTATCAATTTTCAACCGTCGAAAATAGCAAACTGAAGCATAAAACCAATTGAAAAGCCATACTAGTCTGTAGTAACAAATTAAATAATTCTCCTATCACCCAATTTCGATGAAATATTATTCTGAGTAAAAGAAGCACATTCCGATGCCACATCAAGTAGATGAAATTTTATTGAATTACCATTTTGCTTCAATGCTCACAAGGCAAAGCAGCTGAGTTTTATTCAGCGATAATAAATATTTACGTGTGCACTAATGCGATGCACTGATGTTGATGTTTAAAATGCTTCTGCCATCGAACAATATTTAATGCAATAAGTGCGTTCATTGCAAACGCTAACCTCTCGTCGTTGCTGAGAGGCGAGCATGATTTGATTTGTGTTCGGTGGCATCTTGTGGAAACATTCTTTTAAAATTTTATGCATAGTGTCTTTTTGGTACATTCACAGCAAAAAAAACTACTCTGATAGAAACACTGCATTTGGAGGTGAATATTGATTCTCGTTGATAAATTATGAACGATGCAAAAGGAAGCGTCATGAAGGATTTACATAAATTCGCTCGAGTGGCGATCGGAGCAATGAATGTGGCCACAAAGCGATCACCAATTTTTGATTTCAGTGCAACACCTCCATCAATTCGCTTCACTTATCTTACTTTTTCAAGACACTACGCTACAAACTTGATGCAATACGAGGTGCGACAACTACAGAAATCACTTATCAATAACTAATTCATTCGACTAAACACGAATCAGGTCGAGTAGCATTTGAATATCAGCAAATGATCCGCCCTTAATCAACTATCTCATTGCTAAGCTTATTGTCATCTTACGAGGCAAAGTAAATTATCTTGTAAAATGATTAAATAAAGTTGTCATACGGTCAAGAGATAATTCATTCTCACAAGGATCCTTTCGTTAAGAGTTTATTCATTCACAAAGGTAGCTAAAGAGAAACCGATATCTACATATATCATTATTAAGCGCACTAATGCACTGCTTGTTACGTTCAAAATCATATAAACAGAATCAAAAAATCCATGAAGCGATAAGAACAGAATGGCAGCAGGTGAGGCCCAATGAAGATAAATGGATAGACGCAGTGCGAATATTATGCGATTAAAGTATGAAGAATGATGCATTAAAGAATAAAATTTCTACTAGGGAACGAAATTCAAAAAAAGCATACCTGATATGAAGGCAGTGTATCCAAATGTCGGGCTTTCTCTAGTGGAGTTCGCTGAAACCAAAAAAACACTTAAACATTATTGTGAGTCGATCAATAGACAAAAAGAATTGCTTGAAGGCTTCCATATTAAATAATCGTTCAAAAAATAACTACACACTATAACTGTGCGTCAACATTCTCATTATGATCGTCATCAGTTGTCTCCAAGTGAAATAGCCTTCAAACGAGACGTGATCAAATAACTCTTCTTTCCGTGAACTGTCTCCTATACCATTATATCACAAATTCAACATCCACAGTGCATACAAAGCTTGCAACTAATCAAATTTCAACCTTTGCATTGATAATTCAGCATAAACTTTGCTCAGTTTCAAAATTGCTTGATCAATAAATTAAAAAACGATTCACTAAGAAAACCTTTATTATCATTAGCAAATTTTGCCAACTAACTCATTCTTCATTTATTCGCGATGAAAAGTGTACGTTTACAGTGCAATGATGTGCAAATATCATTGCAGCAGCCATATGCCAACAATCACGCTTACTATCCGAATAAGCCAGCAGATTTGCGCAGTTGCGAGGAAGATACGAATGCATATGTGCTGCGTATGCATCTGATACATAACACATGTGTGCGTTTTTGAGGTGATTACAACTTAGACAATGATAAAGATGAATGTGCAAGTAGCATTTATTCATTTTTTATGAATGATCACTTGATATCGTATGTTGCTGCTATTCGGATACGAGCGTAGATAGCTGCTACATGAGGTTATTGACACTTTACAGCTACAATTCACATGGGAAATGAATTTTTTTGTTGTTGTTGCAACACACGAATACAATCCCTTCCTCACTCTCATTAATCTACTCGTAACGGCGCACAACACGGTACTCGCACAATCTGCCTAAAGACGTTTTGCCTAAGGACAGTTTGCCTAAGGAAAGTTTGCCTATTAGGCAAAATATCCATTTAAAAAATGTCCGTTACGCAAACTATCCGTTAGGCGAACTGTCCATTAAGCAATGTGTCTCTAGGCAAACTGTCCTTAGGCAAAACGTCTTTAGGCAAATTGTCCGGTCACGGCATAATACATGTCCTTTGTTAAATATTAGTATCACCCTTATTATTATTATTATTATTATTGTTATTATTATTATTATTACTATTATTATTTCTGTAGTTACTTTTATTAGAACAACACTTCAAGCAGGCGTTCAATTTGGGATGAAAGACATCTTTCTAAAAAGATAGCTATTATGAAATTAAGGAATTGATATTGAAAGATTCCTATCTTAAGCCACACTTCTAATGATTATTCGATGAATTTATTCACAATATTAAAACAGCGTTTTTGAAATAACAGTAACCATATATCTACAACATAGCCTCTAAACGTATATTAAAAAGAGTATGACTTTCATGGAATGTATCATATATTTGAGTACAAAGTAACGAAATGAGATAATGAAGGTTCTCCATGATGTCAATTACAACTGAGTACTTTATTAAGTTGAAAGTGAGTGCTTCATTCTCCCTTTTATTTGTGTTCTCAGGAAATATTTCAGAGGACAAAATTCAGCAAGAGAAAAGATTTGCAAAAGAAACGCTTGAATGAGTTTGTAAGAATGGATGAAGGACAAACTGCGGTTAGTGATTGGCTATTATTGAGAAAATGCACACGTTAATGATACTAGAAACTGAATGAGACTGAGACAAGTTGAATGGAGGAAGTAACCGTAATAATGTAGAATCAATAATGAAGCATAAGATATGAGCCTTGCCTGTGCAAAATATGGCTTTGGTAGTACACAAAACTTGTCGTGTCGATGAAATAGCTCAGGTTCGTGTTCAAGAGCTTGATCTTCAGTTTGTGGTATACAGCGGTAAGCGGTGGGCAAGTGAGTGGTGGTCAGGCAGGTAGTTGATGCACGAGGAGGAGGGGGTGGCGGGGGCAAAGGCGATTGAGGGCTGGTGCTAGCACTAACCACTGGTAATAATGGTTGACGAACACGAACGGCTTCCTTCGAAGGAGAGCTTTCAGCTGGCTGCGGAATGGCGACAAGAGGCGGCGATGATGCGGCACTGCTCGGCGACGTTTCGCTTGCACCCTTGTTATTACTGCCGGCTGTTGACACGGAAAACATACATGTACCGTTTGCTGGCGCACATGCGGAACTAAGAGCACGTCCGTTCGCGATGCAAGGCTGCTTGTGTGTCGAGTTCGGATGCAGATACGAGTGCGGAAATTTGGTCACCTTTTCATGTAGTGACTCTATGAACTGATCTATGTGCGCGCCGTTGTGTGCGCACTGCGCACTGTCGATTAACCTGCGGTGCGGCGCCCTTCCGTTGGCTACCTTTTGCACACGCACACACGCCGGTGGCGAATTCCCTTCAGCGCAGGGAGGCCGTATTTTGTAAGCATACGCCTCGGCTGGGCTCGGAGGCGTTTTGGATGTGTTTCTCTTGCTTGCGATCACTTCACCTAGTTGATTAATTGATGGAACAATAATATTCTATTGTTTTGAACGATTGAATAATGCTGCTGTTATGAGAATGGAATAACGATTTGATGACAGCAATCACATAAGATGCGCTGGTAGAGAGGTTGAATTGAAGAGCGATTCAAGAAAAGACGTTTCAGCAGAAACAGCACTCAATATTGGTGAATTTCAAAATGAAACGGATGTAAAGTCGTTGTGGATTAGTATGATGATGCACAACTATAAGGAATTATGCAATCAACTGCAGTACCACAACCAATAAAAGGACAAATGTTGAGCAGGAACCACCAGTACAGACACGCAAAGATTGCTTAAGAGCCATAGCTATAGCTACACTCCAACTGATTAAGATCCAAGAGCGTAAAGAACAAGATAAAGCTGATGGTGCTTACAATGCCGAATAAAAGTTGAATGCAAGATGCTAGAAGCAAACGTCCTATAGAAGCAGCGATTGCTAGAGAGTATATGATGCTTCAAGGGGCGGATCTATCTGATACGGCTCTCAGGGCGGTCGGTTGTTGTCGTTACAACGTTTCCTCAAATTTTATTCGGTCGCTTTTCTTGAGACAGCGTTTGAATCACAATCACTATCCACCAGTTCAACTTCATCATTCACTTCTAAAGCCAATTTGGTGATGAACAAAAACTGGAATATCATTATGAGAAAGCAACAAATTAGTGCACCACTTGTAAATCATTCAATTTGCATCAATTGCATGAGTGTAAACAGCTAAATTCATCTAGACATTCACTGAAGGATGATCACCATAGAAGCTATAAGAATGCAATCGTGTAGAGGCATTTTCTAATGGGGTGCCACAAGCAACCTTTCATCAGCGCATTCGTGAGCTGTTGGAAATGCGCTGAAAAGCTGGCAGCAATGACAGAATGAGTAGGACATCATCTAATGGATTGCATTAACGATTTTAATGAGATGATAATTCATAAATTTATTGATTGCCCATGAAACCATAGTAGGAATGAACTAGAAGGTTGGTTGAGGTCGAACTAAGATGTAATTCGTTCTTCAACTTATAAAAAATTCAGCAGTAAATTGTTACGTCAAAACGCTTTCGAAAATCAGCACATCATTGAACGGCGTTTCGAAAGTGCCAAACTGATAAATCGTATTAAAAACCACAGCGCAACGTCTATAAAATGGGAATATGAACTAATCAGCGTTTGTTGTTGCTCTTTACCTCTGCAGCTAAAAAAGTTGAAATTAAATTGAGTCAAACGACAGCCATTTGATTTAGACCTATGCCACAATTTCATGTTAAGATAAATTTTTATTCTGAACAACCGAAAATTCCATTGCGCTTCAAGTAGCAATAAAAGTTCACATATTTCCATAACAACTAACGGCAAATTGACAAATGGGTGTACAAACAACTGCGTTCATAGATGTAAATAAATAGAACAAAATCCCTGTATATGACATACATTTATGTTTATTATATATATATATATATATATATATATATATATATAATAAACATAAATGTATGTCATATACAGGGATTTTGTTCTATTT